AATTGATAAATTAGGGTTTTAAAGGAATAATTATTTAATTAAAATGATAAAAAAAAAATTTGAAAAGATAAAAAAACCTGATAAATGAAAAAAAAAACTTGAAAACCTGGTTTTTTTAAATGTGGAAGAAAATGCCTAGTTTTATGTAATTACCTGTTTTTCTTTTCTTTACTTTAAATCTTGTTCTTGTTTGGTAAGCGATCAATACTTCATATTGCTCTATTAATCTCTTCCAATTTTTCACAACACGTGGGTTTAAATGGTCCCAACATGCATGTCGGTGCTTCAATGTGTACAGTCGAAACAAATGAGTCAAGGGAAGAAATAAGAAATAACTAACACAACTAGACCCTAACTTGACATCTTGAACGAGCATGCATGTACCATGGTTAAAAGAACTTCAAAACCCGATGGATAAATGAACTAAACGATAATAAATAACCAACCATTAACTGAAGCAGAACTTCGAAAAAAAGAGACAAAACAAAAGTTGAAGATATGAAATTAAGGTTTAGATTTAAATGTAGAGTTAAAGAATAAAAGCATAGTTTAATGATAGTCGATAGAGATCTTAAATTAAAAAAAAAAAATTGTCACGTGGAGATGCCCTTCAAGGGAAAGTGGTGTCGTTATCAAATCAAAGAATTGTTCACAATATTCAAGTAGTAGGATTTTGATTTTGAATATTACGGTCTTGGAGCCTAATGGGATTGAGATGTTATGATTGTCTGGTGAATCTGAAGTGGCCAATCCACCATACTGACTCAACGCCGCCACCTCCACCTTCATCTATGGAAACAACACTGTTGTTGCTGCTGGTGCTACAACTGCAGATGATGATTTGCTGGTGGCTGAAGAGATTTCTCGACGGCTTTGATAGTAGCCATATTCGCAGCTGCCAATTATTTTAAAGGGGTGCAAATTCATCATTTTATGTGACTTCAACGGTCAAAATACAAGGACGAGTTTTGCTACATCTTCGAGAGGTTAAGTATCTGGTTCCAAAAAAAGGTTGAGGGTGGATTAATAATGAATTGCAAAGGTTGGAACTTGGAAACAAAATGTGCCAATTTCACAAAAATTAATGGTTGTACAAGAATGCTTTTTGCTTTTATTATGAAAAAATAGGGACTGCACAATGGATACAAAAGTGAAAAACTCAAGAATGCAAATTTGCATATATATATATATATACACACACACACACAAATACAAATACAAAGGGCTTCAAAAAAATTTGAATAATTAAAAAGAAATAAAATCAAATGCAACGGGAACTGAATTTTAATGGGAAATAAAATCAAGAAGAGTAGCTGTACTCTTTTTTCTTCGCTCAAGTTTTGCCCATATGATTTTCTTGACAATGTTTTAACAAGAAAGCATTTTATTAATCTAATTATTTTTCTACTCTTTTTTCCTTTCTTTGGTATTTTCTCTCATGTCAAAATTTTGTCAAACCAAGTTTTTAACGAGACATTTATTGTGTAAATAATCAATCAAGAGGGAGTATGCAAATAAATTATTATTTGTGATGACCATTGTAACTCTAGCTGTAACTGTAGTCTACAAATATAGGACATTTGTTTTCAATAAAATATATACAAGTTTATTGATTTCTCTGTTCTCCTATCTTTTTCTCTAAAGATTATAACAAAGGAAAGCTACTTAAATTTGGAAAGGAAAAAAAAAAATCTCAAAACCCCATTTTTATCGTATATAAAAATCGAAGCACGAGATTTTGTATAGTCATTTTGAGTAACTACTAATTAATTCCAGGTTTTTGCACCTTTTCAAATGAGAGAAGAAAGATGCATCGATCCTATTATAGTCTAGTAATCCTTCTGAAACAAGATTTTATACCTTCTCACTACTTCACGATAATAGTATCTCAAAGAGTTAAAGTATCTCCAAAATGCTCTTTATTAGTCACAACTTCTCTATTTTACAAGTTGATCCTCATTTTGTGGAGTCTAAAAAATCTTTATGCGTAAAAATTAAATAAAGAGTGGATATGGCTGCAGAGAGCCAAATGTAAACAAATTTAACGCTTTCATACATTGTTTCACAACTCCTTGTGCATTTCTTAAGAGGGAAACCAATTTAAAAGTAACTACTGGCTGATCAATAATTGCTTATGAACAAAGCAAAATAAAGAAAAATATAAAGAGATTATTGAACTTGTATAAAGCATAGTTATAAAAACCAACCAGCCGGTCCGTTCCTGTTGCATTACTTGGTCAAATTAACAAAGGAACCGGTCAACGACCGGTTGAACATCGAACCGGTTTTTTAATGAAGTGAAGTGTAAAATTTTATTTACATCTTGTAATGGCAGGGTTTTTCCCAGATGAAAATTTACTTCCTTGACCATTTTGGAAACTTTAGGTGTTATACCCTAGGTCCAATCAACTTTTGACATAAACATTTTGAATATATATATAATCAATGCATATGTATGGCAATATCTATTATTTAATTGAATTAATATTCTAATAAATTAAATAATAGAATCCGTAGATTCAAGTCTTGGTGATTTGTTAATCACAAGGAGTTGTGATTGTGAGATACAAA